TGAGGGGCCCTTCACCATCCATACTTCCCCAGAAAGTCCTCATTATACATGTCAGCAGGCCCGTCTAGAAATCTGTTGTTGTACATGCCTACAGGTCCTTTTAGGAATCTGCCTGGTTTTTCTCTCAAGATTCTGTTATGGGCAATACAAATGAAAAGTAAAGAGCAGAAAAGGAATAATTCAGGGGCAAAATTGAATGATGAACTTCCGTTTTATAAGCTTGGGACCCCTAAGAGTGCAAGAGACAGAAAAGATGGTAGGACAGGGAGATGATTGGGAGCAGTGACCTGTCAACCCAGTTAAACATAATTTATCAACCTGAGATAAACAGAGCTTCTGGCCATCATTTGTATGACTTCCAGGACTGAGAAGCTTTTTTTTTTTTTCAGTGTAAGTGGTCTATAAGTATGAGCTTTTAAGATTAATCCTGATGGTTAACACAACAGTACTCTGGTGTTGTAGAACACTTTAATGTCAATTTTTCCTGCTATTTCCTTTGGTTTTTCTAAATGTAATATGTACTTCTCAATGTAAAATGTTCCCCACTGATATGAGGAATTACAAAATAATAAATAAAGCAAGTAATTACATCAATAAGTACTAATAAAAGTAATGACACTAAATAATTATGCATATGACTCAAGGTGTCTTCACATCCAGAAAGGAGGCTTGAATATGTTCAAACAATGACTTATCCTTTTTCACCTAAAGTTTATTTTTTGGAAGTGTACCTGAGCTATAGCTTTCCTAATGCAAATGTTTTGGAGTGTTGTCCCTGCTTGCCAAAACTGTCTCTTCTAATTGAACTTACTCTTTAGTAAGTGCAAAGTGAAGCAAGGCAGGGCTTTGCCACCTCAAATATAAAAAAATGTAGCCAGACAGGAGTCTGACTGCTTCTCCTACAAGAAGGGCATGATCTGAGTCAAAATAGAGACTTGGGAAGTGATTTCTACAGATCCAGACTTTCTTTTCTTTCTGGTGCCAGAAGGATGTGACCTCACTGTGGGTACTGCTGGTGATGGATCCAGAGCAAGGTGTGGGGTTGTTGGTGGCTCTGGCAGGCACAGGGAGCAGGGATGTAGATGTTGCTGCCCTTCCTGGCTCCCCCTGCTTTAAGGACTTCTCTGCTCCATTTGTGCCTAGACCTGTCCCTGCTCAGGTGGCACAGCACCACTGACACACTGGATGCTTTGTCACTAGGGATGAAGAGACCCTATTTAATTTTAACTGGCACTCACCAGTGGTTCAGTTTAATAACTCCACACACCCATGAGAACTGAGACTGTCATGGGGCAGCAATCTCAAGTGTTCAGGTGTGAGAAGTACAAGCTCAAGGAGACAGTACTGAAGGAGCAATGCTAGTTTGTCATGTATTTCCTTTCACAGGGAAGAATATGAGGTTGTGTATGCTGCCAGAGTGGGAATCTCACTTGGACAGAGTTTTATTGGAACTAAATTTCAGGCTGTGAATTAATGAATAAGAAGTATTTTTGCAGAAGAGAAACTCCAGACTGAGTAATGCCTTTGGCAAAAGTATTGGATTTCCAGATGCTCTGGATACTATTAACCCGTCTTTTGAGGTTGTGCTTTATCTTTCTGTTTATGTGCAAAAATTTCCCTGGTGCTAAATTAGTTTGCTCAATGGAAATCTTATCAAGTCTGAAGAGCTCTGTGAAATTGTGTAAGAAGTTAGAAGGATGTGAAATGCTTACACTGAGAACTCTGGGTTACAACTGATATTTAACATTTATATATAAAGGGAAAAGAGGTCATGTAGCAGATTCCTACTATCACATTGGCCAAATAGCTATGCAAATGTCTTTTGATTTCTCCTTAATATTCATGTTTTGCAGAAAAACTCCTAGGATGCCAATCCCCTGGAGTGATATTCATTCACATGAAATGAAATACATAGAAGAGTGGGAATGATCGAAAGATTTTAGTGGCACACGTTTGGCAATGAGCAAGTCATGTGGGTCAACATAAATGAGTACAGATAAAATTTTATATCACCAGACTGTGCATTTCACAAATACTGAGCATGATAGGATAAAAAAAAAATCTCAATTTTTTGTCGAGTATTTAAAAATTATTGAGGATAATGGTTGTGATTTTTTGTTTTTCAAGTAAAGAAAATATTCAAGCATTTTAATTGCAAAATATGAGATCTTGAAATCTTATTGAAACAAACAGCAAAATTCCCACTGACTTTAACTGGAGCTGGGACTTCATCCAGATAGCCAACTACATGGGACTCAAAGAAGGGAAAAATAATAACCAATACATTTTAGAAACAGATGTTTTTTCCAAGAGGGTTTTTTTTCTATCTTAATACATAAAAGTCTTATTTTCACTCCAAAGATTAACTCTGAGACTCCCTCAGCCCAACAAACAAGATTTTTGCATCCTCTTGAGATGCTCAAAATATTTCCAGTGGTAAGAATCTGTAGCTTGAATAATAAGCAAATAACAGAATCAGAGAATGGTTGAAGGCTGGAAAGTGCATGTGGTGATCATTTAGTTCAACAACTACTTATTCCAGGTTGCCCAGGACCATGTCCAGTTGAGATTTGACTGTCTCCAAGGATGGAGAACCCATGACCTCTCTGGGCAACCTATGTCAGTGCTTGGTGGCTTTGACAGTAAGAACGTCTTTCCTGATATTCAGAGGGGACCTCTTGTGTTTCAGTGTGTGCCCATTGTCTCTGGTCCTGTCACTGGGTATCACTAAGAAGTATCTGTCTCCATCTGTCTGTTATAATCCAGACCAAGGGACTGAACTAAAAATGTTGTACCTAAGACAATAGCCCATATTATTTTAGGGTGTGTAATTTTTGTATTTCACAGAAAGAAGGGCATAGTGATTGTTGATAGAAAAATAAAGCTAATAACAAGAATTCTAGCAACTATTTTCAAGATTGGAAAAATATCTGAAGAAAACAAAACCAATAAACAGAAAAAAATGGATAGAGGTAAATAATGCTGGCTGTATCTTATATGGCTCTCTGAAATCATTGCCTGTGTGTTACCACCACCCAAAATGTGAACATGTACTGCCTTTCTTGATGCCAGATGATCTTTGCAGACACAAGAAGCAGCACAGCATCGTCATTCATGCAGTCCAGGGCCTGTTACTCCTTTCAGTCAGCCCAGGGTATGGGGTATACAGCTCAGCCCCTCATTCATGCTGACACAATTTTCTCTCACATTTTACCCTGGGTTCTGTCAGCCTCCCACTACTACCTTTGCATCACAAACTTGTTGTATGCAATCAGAATTGTACCATGATTTCATTCTGCTAACATCTTCATTAGTCTTTAAATGTTGTACTTTCATATTTTTGTATCCATCCCTCTGATGCCCTCCAGTTTAATAGGTAGGGTGGTGTTTTCTAAATTCACTGGGGAAGGCTGTCACATGATGCAGGCTGCCATGACTCTTGTCACTAGGACTGTGAACTTTATCTTTTACTTTTCATGACAAGTTGTTCCCACTCGCCTAAAAGTGAAGTAAGATTTTGGCCAGTGCTGAAGATGCCTGAAAATGACACCCACATTGCATATATGTATGCAATAACACATGATAATTTTTTTAATTTTTATTTAGAGGTTCAGTATTCCTGATAGTTTAAAACAAAAATATTTGTTCAAATGAGACTCAGCTCTATCAAATAATGGTTTCCTCTTGGTTTCAGTTCTTCAGCCTTCACAGACCTTTGTTGTGCTCAGTATCTGCTATTTTGTAATCCAATTTGATCTAATTTGACCATTTCTATGTATCGTCTTTGAAGTACATACTATGACAATATTAAAACAGAAAATCATAGAATCGTAGAATGGTTTGGGTTGGAAGAGACCTTAAAGATCTTCTAGTTCCAACCTCCCTGCCATGGGCAGGGACACCTTCCACTAGACTAGGGTGCTCAAAGCCCCATCCAACCTGAGCGTTAACACTTCCAAGAATGGGGCATCCATCACTTCTCTAGGCAACCTGTTCCAATCTCTCAGCACCCTCAAAGGAAATAATTTATTCTTAATATCTAATCTAAACCTGCCCTCTTTCAGTTTAAAGCCATTCCCTCTTGTCCTATCACTACATGCCCTTGTAAAAAAGTTATCTAAACTTATGGAAAAGATAGTGAAACTGCTGATCCTCTTGCACTGTTTTCCTGGATTTGAAATACAAAATGTAAGGACAAACCAAACATGGAACAGATATTCTATTTAGTATTAACAGCACCCAAAATATTTTTCATAGTAAGTTTGTGTCTAAAGTTTAAGCAGGTACTTGCATGTTATGCTAGACAAGACCTTACATCCTTGTCATGTTGAGCAGACATTGAAAGCAATGATTAAATGGAAAACATGTCTTTATACTAATTATAGATGGCTAGTATTTCTCAGGACCTGAGGGAAATAAACAGAAGTTCTCAGCTACTTGAAGTTTGGAGTGTACTGCTTTAAATCAGTAAATATGGACAATTTACATGCCTAACGTGCCATATCGGCATGAAAACATTTGTCAGAAATTGATGAATGAAACAAGAAGAAGGAAGAAAAATGATAGTACACAAACCCTCCAGAGAGCAAAATAAACAATGTAAGCATTTGGTAAATAAATCCCTGCAGAACTCTTAGAAATGACTCACTGATTAATTGAATCAATCCATCAACCTTTTGTGATTGCATCAATATACAGTCCCTTTGATGTTGTTCTTCTTCCAAAGCTACTGTTTTAAATGCTTTTAAGATGTAGGATATAATATAATACATAACTATGTGGAGCTACCATAAATTAATTGGATAATCTAGCGAGATATAATTGGCTGATTCTTTTACTCAAGTCTCATATGTACATGCTTAAACTAATCATATCACCTCATAACCATACTCCAAGTTCTCGTTTCCCTGCTCTTATTTTTCTGAAATTTTCTGGCACCCACTTTTTTTATTAATTAAAATTTAACAAATTTAACAGCAGAGTGAGACACTGAGATCATATATTTTCTTTTTTTTTTTTAAATTAAAATGTTGTCATTTGTTTACTTTATTTAACACATAAACTCTTTGCAGAAAGGACTGTCTTATTTACTGTGTTCATAGATTGCACCATGCTTGTACATCCAGTAAGTATCAGAAATTATAATTTTTGTATACTGAATGCCCATCTAAAAAATAAATACTTGAGACTTTGCATCTCTTGAGAGGAGGGATAGGAAAAACTATGTAAAAGAGGGGGAAACTGTAGGTGGCTTTGTATCCCCACCATAAAATATACTCACATAACAGATATGTTTGTGTGTAGATATGTGTGACAGAGTGAACTGAGCCAATGTTTACACAAAAGCACATAGATGCATGGATACTGAGAATCCCATGTAAATGAATTCAATTGCACATACGTACACGCTCTCCTAGGAACAAACATTCACCTGCGTGCACAGAAACCAACCATCCAAATGTTTGCAAGAAGGAAAAAACAACCCTGAGAGAAATTCAAAGAGATTGAAATGTGAATCTAATCCAGTCAACATGTTCACAAACACATTTTCTAAGAATTTTCTTCCGGTTCACCTGTGCCTTTTGTAGCTCTGGATATTTATGACTGTCTACGTGCTCAATGAACTATAGCTTCGGCAAATGTAATTGAACATGTGAAAATGATTCCTACTGGGACTCGCCGTACCTCATAGCTTCCGTAATGCTGCCGCCCTTTACCCTTCTGTTAAGTGTCTCCCTGCATCTGGGACCTTTGTGCTTCCTCATCTTGTCATTTTGCAGATATCCACAGTGATACTGTCCTCCATGACTATCATCATCATTATGTAAACAGTTGGAAACAATAGATGTTCCAAATAGAAGCATGTAATTTTGGGAGAATATTTGGGACTGTGTTCAGGAGGATGGGGAGAGTGATAATGGGACAAGAAGGTGGTGACAGGGAGAAATAAATTAAATACGTATGAAATAGCATTCTGTGTGGCAGAACTGGAGACTCTTGAAGAGCACATGCTGAATATGAACATGCTGCTTCATGTTTAGCTCCCCATAGCCTATTTCTCAGCAGGACAATGGCAAAGCTAGGAAAGTGATTAGGTATCAGGTGGCAGCAAAGACCCTTTTCCACTGGTGGATGCAAATATATGGCTTTTGTACAGAAGAATTAATTTTGAATCAGAGACAACCACAAACATTAGTTTTTTTAATTCTTAGGTTTCACAGTGATCCTACCTATCCAAAATAATAATCCCAAGGCATTTGGAAGTCCCAAGAGCTAAGTCTTATACTCAACAGAGAGCAGAAAAGACGGTGCTTTTATTGGACGCAAGACAAAAAATCTCTGAAGTGATCTTGGCAGAATTTGGAAGACCCTTGTGAAAGACATTATCTGTCTCAGTTGATTTCTGAGAGATAAAGGAAAAGTTCATTTTAAAAGACCCTTCTTTTGCACATATGGAGAGAGATGTGCAACAAATGTATATATGATGCTACTTAGAATTTCACATTTGGTACAATATCTTTCTTCTCAGCTATGCAAAGGTCACAACTCTAACTATCTGCAATTGCCTCTTTTGGTGAAGATCTGAACAGAGCAACTTGTCAGAACATGAGATCAAACAGAGCTAATTTTTCCAATCCATGTCTGGGAATGAAGCATATTAGTGACTACAGGAAAAAAGCTCTTTTACTAATTCATTCTGTGCTGCACCACTTCTATACATGAATGAGTAACTGCAGTCTAAAGGGCACTTGCTTTTATGCATGGTAATTACATTTAATATTGCACATAGTTTGGAGCAGACCAATTAGCATAACAACTGCCTACATCTTTCTCCAAGGAGAAGTGGACAGAGCACTGTTTGCAGTACTGCTATGCATTGGTCCTTCAATAAAACCTGGTTTACCTTTAGTGTCTGTCACCAGTCCACAAGTGCTGGGAAGCCAGATTCAGATTAGCTAGAAAAAAAAGTCCATCAATTTCACCTCAGCTACTCATCAGTAGACAGTCAGCAAGCAATACATACCCATAGACTATTCATGGGGCTTTCCATCTTTGTGGAAAAATCCTCATCTTCTGAGCATTTGCATTTAAAAATAGAACAGAGGACTGGCAATGAAAATATTACAGGCTGGAAGGGTCCATGGTGTATGGAGTTTTGCTCTGGCTACTATCAATGTTCTTAAACAGAAGGTAAGCGTGCAAGTGATCAAAACCTTCAGACACTGAGTTAATAGCCATTCCTATTTGGAGACATCCAGGAATCAATACATACTGTGCTAGACTTTGCCAAAATTCTGTGCAACAGTACAGTATTGCAAACTTAAATTAAGCAAATGGAGCACAAATCTTTTCTCCCTACTTGATTGAAAAGTATCACTTGCACTATAATGAAGGCCTAAAAAAATCCTAATGACATTAATTAATACACTCTCTTTCTAAGGACTTGTCTTAAGATAGTATGACCGACTATCTCAAAATGTATACTGTTCTGCTCCACCTTTATTAAATTACCTCAGGCATATATGTGTGAACTCTATAAACATTTCACAATATTTCTTCATTTCAGTGTAGGGGCAATAAATGGCATATAAAAGAATATTAATGCAGTGGAAATATCCATGTTACATAGCTCCTTCTTAAAAAGGATTATTTTTGTAATACTTAACACTGTTGGCCACTGTATACGTATCATAGGCTTAAAATTCCTGATGAGTGCACAAAACCAGCCCTGCTTCCTAAGTGAAGAGTCTGTTGCAGTCAACCTTGTAAAGGAAACCTTTTAGTGTCAGTGATAATGAAAATACCTGCTACATACGACAGTGTTAAAATGGTGTCATGACCTGGCAATTTCTATTCAGTGCTGTCACATCCATGCACTGCAGAGATCAGGATTGTCATCATGTAAATGTAATAGGATTATTTATCCTGCATTGTTGCTCAGCTGGTAACAGTAATTCTAAGTTTCCCGTAAGTTGTGAATAGCAGCAGGGGGCCATGAATAGCTTGGAAACCTATATTTTTTCCATTTATTTTTTTTAAAATGCAAATTACACTAGTAAGTCAAAAAAATCACTTTTGTTAAAAATACATTCAGAATTAACAAATGCCAAAAAGAAAAGAAAAGAAAAAAAACCACATTTGGATTGTATCTCTTGCCTTCTGAATATTTTAGTTTATAACAAAAGCCCAGCCTAGAAAAATAACATTCTTTACTGGATTTTGAGGAGGATACAGCTGTACAAATCAAAAGTGCCATCCAGATATTCTCACATTACTGTGCTCTAAACTGCTTCCAGAAGAGATCTGTCCACTAATCATTTAGTTGAGTAGTCAACAGTCCTAATTTTTTAAATGGTGGTGCTCTAACTGCAATTTAAGCAGGGTTATGAATACCAACTTCATATAGGTAAGTATGCGTATATATATATGTATACTGTGTGTAAGCGAGTGTGTGTATCTACTCTATATGTAATATATGAATACACATTTATATTGCAATCTGTAGTAGTTTAGATGTGCTTCCTATTTCCTAAGCATTTTACAAACATTAACAATTCAGACCTCACAAAAAGCCTGTGAGGCACATATTATTCCCGTATTATAGATGGGAAGACTAAGACACAGAGAAACTAAGGCCAAAATTTTCTAAATTAAAATCAGGCCTATAAACTACATGTAGACACTTCATTAAATTGTCTGACTTCTAAAATTGCTAACTAGCAGTAGCTGCTGTTCCATGGGAAATCACTGAGAGGTATGAAAAATTATCGTCTGAAAATTGGATTGCTGCTTAGGTGCCTAAACTGGTTTCTTTTCATGTTAAAAAGCGATTTTTATAGAAATATCATCTTGATTAACTGGTATACAGGGAAAGATAAAAGAACCTGTTATGACATTTTCATTCCATTTAAACCTCTATGTTATGTTTAATTCTATACATCTGCTATATTTAATACTACATAAAAGTAGAAACTTTTGAAATTTTTCAAGTTATGGGAAATTTCATCCTGGCACTTGGAAGTTGCATGGGGTTTCCAGGGGGTGAAAAGCAGCTCTATCCAGAATGAATTCAGAATTTCAGGTCCCCAAGTATGAAAATTTAAATTTGAGATCCAAATCAGCAGTGAATGCTTTATGGGATCAGGCCTAGGGTATGTGCCTGTTTCATGCAGGAAATTCCCAGCAGTATCTGAGACAGGAGCCCTTGGTCCACTGCATCAGAATCTTCCTGGGTGATGCAGCCCCCAACAATAATTATTCCTGCGTATTTTATATACATAGACATACACACACATTCACACACTTACATATATATATATATCTATCTATATAAATCTCACTGAATCAATGTAAGCATAGCTTCTGAACATGTCCCATATCTTGCTTTCACTGTCCCTCTGTCACTGTCCAGAGTTGCTGCTTGTGACACTGTACATCCATGCAGACACAGCAAAGGGCACTGGTTTGTACAGGAATGAGTGAGTGGTGTGAGCACACAGGCCTTTGGAGCAAGGCCTTGGCCAGCAAGGAAAAGGGAGTTGCTCAGGTGTACCTCAAGCTTTTCCAAGTGTTGGCCTTTCCTCTTGCCCTCAAAACCTACGTGGTCACCTCAGGTGTGGTAGGTGCGTGCGTTTGTCTATGCAAGGTCTGAGCAAAGAAACAATGACAATCCAAGTTTCTGAAAAACCTGAGCAAAGTATTGGGTTTTCCTAGTGAAAGCCACCTATGTTCTTGAAAATACAGATCAGCTGTAGAATAAAACATATGTTCCTAGGAGTTCAGAGTATTTCATATACACATTGACCTACTAGCAAAATTCCCAAAGGCATCTTGTTGCCAACTACGTAACAGCACAGGTTTTTTTTTTTCAGCCACAATAATACAGGAAGATAAAATACACATTCTAACACAGAACAGATCCCCCAAATATACCCCAAAAAGGTCTTCAATATTTCTTCAACTCAACTAGTGCCTCCTTGCCCTCTCCAACTGAAATCAAAAAATAAAATATGTGAATCCCTTATGGTGCAATTAGGAAAAAAAAAGCTCACTTACAGAGAATTTTTTGTTGAAATTAGATATAAAAGACTGAACGTAGCTAGTACATATTCAGTTGGCCTTTGTTGATAGAAATCTGCAGATGTCTCTGTAGTTAGTAAAAGACGTTTAGAGATAGCTATAAAAGCACCTATAGTGCGATAAACAAAACCAGTGGGATTAAAGAACTATTTCTGCTGCGTATTTCCAGTAGGTTCAATTATTAGTTTATGTTACCCCTTTCCTCACCCTGACCCCCCAAAGGTCTTATTTCTTTCTTTCTTTTTCTTTTTAATCATTATAAACTGTTTCTTGACCACTGTGGAGTCTCAAAAGTAAAGCACTTATCAGACAGCTGGCAGTTTTCTACTTGGTCGCTCTGGAGCCATAGAGCAACAGAGCCTTATTCCCTGACACCAAAACAAAGCAAAACCAAACAGAAGAAAACCACTGACTTAGAAATTGTTCAGAATTAACAGCAGCATGTTAACTTCAGAAAGCTTGCACGTAGTTTCTCTAATGTGCAATGCAGTTGGGTTAAGGCAAGTATGAACTGTACAGCCTTCAGGGCAAACAACACGCTGTCTATTGACTTCTGCTGCAAGGTCATCCTGGTATTTCAGTGTCGTGTTGACTAAGGAGACTCGATGCAGCCAGAAGTGTGAAGGAGTCTCCAGAAGCACCGAGTTCATGTCTTAATCCAGATGGGTCACACTGGCGGTGGCCGGGATAGGGAAGAGATAAAAGATGTCACCAATGCCTCTGCTCTGTCCCTCTGGTGCTGGGAGGCAGGAGGTCCAAGGTGGGGGTCTGGGGCATCTCCTTTAGTACCTGTTAGAAAGAGGGGCTGAAAGTCTCTTGTTTTCAGTCTCACTGTTCAATCAGCTTTTATATTTTTCTTTTAGCAGAAAAATTGGATTTTTTTCTCTTTGAAGAATCAGGAGGCCATTCTGAAACAGTTTCTTTGACAGTGGTCTTCCAGCCCACCTTGGGTAGTCCCCATGTTTACTTTGACCTAGAAGAAAGACAGAAAAAGAACAATACTTATAATCCACCATATACCTATCTGATCCCTGCCCTGCTGCTCTGGCGCCCCTTTGCAAGCAAGTGTAAGCAACAAACCAGTAACAGTTCAGCTACACATAGGATGAAGTGGACCGAAAGACAAAGTATTTGCTCAGGGAGCTGCTTGGCTCTCTCTGGAACACTGTCAGAGAAGTCAGCACAGGTTTTCTAAACAATCCTAGATAGGAGTTATATTTAATTATAATCTTAACTATATATCTACGGGTCAACTGGAAGATGACCTGACATATAATCCATCAGATATGTAGCTGTCTCTGTAAAAACAAGAAGTGACACAGTATGAGGACAGAAGGGCTGAACTGCAGGAGCGGGGGAAAGCCACCCTTGGCTCGCTCGCAAAGCAGGGTGCATGTGAAAGTGCCACAGCCCTGTACACCTTACAGTGTTGTCCCAAACCCATGTTTTGTGACTAAAGCTTTCAGTCTAAAATGGACAAGATGTTGTTTGTTCATAATCAAAGCTTAGCTGGTAGTTTATTTAAATGAAATGTTGTCCATGAAGTCTGAATCCCACAAACATGAGGACATCATTACCCAGTGGATTTCTGCTGCATGAACTTGCTGAGTGTCATGGTGGTTATATGTGAGCTGCCGGTCTTAGTGTCTTTTTTGTGTTTCATTTCTGCTTTAAGTGAATGGTAAAGTAGGTAGCACCTTCAGTATGTGCAATTATCTAGACAAATATCTATATGTGTGTGTGTGTGTGCGTGCGTGTGCATGTGAGTATATATATTGCAAATATTCTTAGACTTCACAATGGGAGGAAAGCAAGCTTTACTTTTGGGCTACACTACTTTTGAGCAATTTCTTCAGTGCATTAGGCATCAGCATCAGACACGCATGCTTTTATTTTTGGTTCACTTCTTCTTTTCTTCAGCAAATAAGTTTACTGTGAAGAACATAAAGATCTCTCTCCCCTCCCTCCTTCCTACTGTTTTTAGAACAGTGATCATGCAGTGCAGTCTTGATCCACAACTACAACGGTGTTTATTCATGTGCAGCAGAATCAGTGTCAGGGAGTGTTTAGTCACCTTCCTCGATCACCTCCCAAGAGCAGAATTTTCTCTTGTCAATTGATTTCCGCCATCTTATTGTGTTCTTCTCCCATGGTCTGGAAATGAACACTGGCATCTCCAGCACAGAATGCCAGGAAGCTGCTTTTGAGTACATCAGCTGTGGCCACACTGCAAGGAGGTACATGAGCATCGGTTCTGTCCCATTCTGTTCAAAAAGCGTATTCGTTTTGAAGGGACTGTCTAGGCTTCTTGGCTTGTACAGCATAGAGCACGCTGTTGGCACTTAAATAATAAAAAAACCCGATTTATAACAGGTAGATAAATGTCACGATAAGAATTCTCCCCCAAAACATCAATGTTTTATTTAAAACATAATTTTAAATTGAATATATTTTTCTCTTTAAAAAGTAAACTTATTTAAAATAAATATGAAATTGGAAGAGATGATAAGGAGAATTGTGATTGCAACTAAAAGCCTAAAATATAGAGAAAACACCCCAAAGTGAGCCCAAATCCAATATTTCTAGAGTACTCAAGGAAATAGTAGCCAGAGATAGTCACCTCAATTCACTATCTACAGAAAATGTTTCTTTTTCATAAATCAAGATTTTTTTCCTGTAAGTATCCTTTCATTCAAAGTAGTTTCACATAACTGATGAAATTCCACACAAATATACTGTGTGCATTTAAACTGAATTGGAATGTTCCTATAAATAGAGCTTGATTGATATCACAAATAAAAAGTAATAAATCTTTGGACAAAAAAGTCCTGACACAATAGAAATGTAAACATAAGAAGCCTGAATAAATCAATATAATTATTTGCACATGTGAGTTTGTGTAGGTTCAATAAAACCTCCAAATTAACAAAATGAAGTGCTAACTTCAGCACACAGGATGAAACTGGTTACAAAACTGTGTGTCTTAAGAGTTAGCAATTACTAAACCCAGCATTCCTTCAGGATAATAATTAAATCGTTCATGTATAAGACAGTTAAAATTGATTTGGATGCAAAACTGTCTAACTTGAATAGAAATAAAAGTTCGTGTTGATGGAATTCTGTCAGTGCAATCCTCTAAATCAATTCACATCAGCCAGCAGTACATGGATGATGACTGAGACCTACCACGCAATTCTGTATGTCTTTAAGATTTGTACTAGTTCTGTATATGAATTGATCTGGTAAATATATAAGGGCTTCTCTGTGCTGTATTACTGAACTACATTTTGAAATTTGTATGTTGACAGAATCTGTACATCATTAGAAGCTGATATTGTTTGGTGAGTTCTTCAAAGCTGAGGCCATATCTTCTTCCCTTTTGCAGCATGCCTAGCACACGTATTGGTACTACCACAGCACAGAAAACAAAAGAATTGATATTGTGGCTTTGGATATAGTTAGTAATCAGATGATTTAAAGGCAAGTGTCTCCTATTTCTCTCATAAATCCAGAGCTCCACATGAGTTGCACCCAGTGTGAGCCTGAATACTAAAGGATGCAGAGGTGGCAACAATCTCTCTTCGTAATATCTTGATCTTTTGCAGGAATTAGATGGGATGATGCTTAATATATCTTCTGCTGCTACAAGAAGATCAAACCTTGACTTGATTAGTTTGATGTTTGAATTTGTCCACACCTGATGGTCTGCCTATATTTACAGAGCAACTGCGGTGTAAATACATATGCATGCGTTCCTGGTGTGCCTCAGCTGTAGAAAACAGAGAGGTATTACTAAATGCTGTAAAAGCCTCTTAAGGACAGATTGTAGCAATCTGTCAAATACTATACAGTCAGAGGGAAACGTCAAATGTCATTGAGTGCGGCTGGGACATGGTAATACTTTTGTGGGTTGATTGGGCAAAATGTCAGCTCACATTCTGATTTCTGTCTCTCTGTGAAGATGGTAAAATCACCTATACTCCAGTGAGAATGCAGCAATAAGATAGAACATAGTTTGCATGGATTAATCATATATCTCTTCATTTCAGCTACAAGCTTAAAAATGTTGCCTTCTTTTTTTCCACAGGTCTAGCTTTCTTTCCAGTCAGTATGAAAATACACAGAAAATGCAATCTGTTCTTCTGGAAGAAACACTGAGAACATAAAGAGAATGGGATAATATCTCAGCTAGAGGGCTCCATATGTTGATGACAAGGTATGGTGTACTGAGAAAGAAATAGGATTAGAATTGTTCTAAGTACCTATGTGCTTCATATAATACTAGGAAGGAAATAACATTTTCTAAATGCGCAGCACTGTGCCAAAAGTGCAGGTGAAAAATGTTTACTTGAGCACAGACAGATGGGAAGCTGAAGTTAAGACAGCATTGGTGATATGCACTATTGTAATTTGAGATTATTAAAAAGTTGCTTGTAAAGATCCTGAAGGGCCCAATCCTGAACACTACTGCAGACTGATTGTACCATGATAAAGGAGTAAATGCCACTTCCATGCAAAAATATACTAATCAATTAACAGACTTGCTTCCACTACTCATAAAAAATGAAATTGCATTCAAGGGTGAATGGAAGTGTATGTTGCAACACCTATTGTTTGCTTGAATTTAGTTATTTTCCTCAAAAGAGATGTTCAGAAGAGAAACAAAAGAAAAAAAGTAAATGTTGCCCTTTTGTGAACTCTTCAGTGCTATGCTTTTAGTGTGTGGTTATTGATGGCAAATAAAAAATATTCCAAAAAGCTGCAGCAGTGAGGCAAGATTTATCTGGGCAGTCAGGACTGTTCTGAATTGCAGTTGGCATCAGTACAAGAAATATTTAGAGATGATTATTCCTGGAGTAGTCTGTAGTTGGGTATTAGCTCTAGTGTGAATATACCCCAGTTGTCTGTATGAGCGGAGATTTGATTACTCATTTAATTCCCAAATATATCAGGTTGCACTCTGGGATGGAGTTGTCACTCACTGGTTAGGTAAAATACTGTCTTCTATTCAAATTGATTCTAAAACTCCTATGTTGTTACATTTGTTTTGGGTTTTTTTAAATGTGGAAACTGGAAAGGAGGTACAGAAGTGCTTCGGTGAACAGATGCTCTGGTAAGACAAATGTTAAATGCATCCACTAAATTAGCAAGTTGCTGAACTTTTGATAAATCTTAATAAAACCCCACTTTTTTTTCCAACCAAGGTTTGTCATATCTGACTAGTTCTTTTTTTTACACTGAATTCTCATTGCTTCTGAGTGGAACCTGCTTGAATGAAAAAAGGGAAAAATCAGGTGAGAGCTGGGTGTTATTTGAATAACTGTGACACATGGTATCCTGCCCCAAGAAATCACTAAAATTCAACAGAAGAGCAATGTTGGTGCTTAAGTGTAGCTTGAATTCAGTTCATCAAAAAAGGCTTCTGCGCATTCTGAATTTTTAAGTCATGCCATCTTTCAGCTTAATGATCCTTTAACATCAGCCTGCCACTCTGCCGAATATCTTAGAAGTTAAGTACTTACATATACATGGGCTGTAGTTGTAAATGAGATGTCTTCTGTGGACCTTGATAGCCGTAAGAGTCAAATCCACCTATGAAGTCAACTGAAAGGGGGAAAATTGCTTGCATTAGCAACATCTTTTCAGAAGTGATAGGCCCTATCATTCAAGAATCACTCAGCACAAACATTATTTTTTATGAGTCCTCTAATAATCTCTTAAAATTAGATAAGCTAATTGTGAAGATGCAGAAAAAGCCTAAAAGAAGAAAGGCAAAGTCCCCTGTTTTTCCTTTTTAAACCCACAGAAAGACAATATAGGATTTATAACAGCCATCAGAAATAGCCACACATTTTTCAAGCAGACCACCTCACTGTAATACAAAAGAACATGCTATTCAGACACCACAAATACTGAAACCCATGATTTATTGGCATGAATACATTGCTTCTGACTGTGATTACTACTGTGTCTGGGTTCCTGTCATACCATTGATGTAGAGGAGAGAACACATTGATCAAACTCAGTCTGAGAGAGAGAAGTTTCTCTGATTCCTTGCTTTGACATTTGGATTGAAATGCATGAACAGAGAGTTGGAACAATTTATCTGAGCTTCAGAGATGAAACTTCTTAGATGCAAGGAAACCTATTTCTCTCAAGGCACTGAAGGTCTGAAAGAAGGTTGTAGAGTGGGAGTTATTTATAAATTCAAACCATTGCAAGTTCCTGATGGTCTTTGCATGCTTGTTTTAAACAATTTCCAGGGAAATTCAAGCTCACCTAAGCTTGAGACCCCTGTTTCTCTGCTATAATACTTTCTTTGCACAGGTAAAATGGTGCCCTTTTCTTCCTTTCTGTCCCAGGAGACCCAGCTATTGGCTTTTAGGGGTTCTTCGTGGGCAGTTCTCAATCCTGAAAAATTATCTCTTATGTCAGAGATGTGAATTTGACTTTACTTTGATAGAAAAGGGCCAAAGCTATGGAAATGCATTTTTCACATGTCTTGGACACTGCTACTGACAGACTGGATCTGTGTACACTAAAAGCAGAAAAAAAAGAAAAGGTTCTTTGATGGAGGACAGCTTCTTGTGGATCTAAAATGCAGTAACAACCACAAAAAAATCCAAAAATTACTACCCTTGGTTTGAGAACCTCCACAGTGTTGGAATACTTAAAACTTGCATTTATAAGGTTATTTTATACTAAGGTACCCCTCAATGTGTCTCACACTTAGCCAAACTTATCAAAGCATTCATATCCATCCTAGACATGGTACAAAAATATCAAATTCTTGTACACCTCTGTCCTCCATTTACTTTGCAAGCAAAGAGCTATCAAAACACTAGACTGGATGGGTACAGTACATTGCAACCACACACTTGTTCAGCCTGTCATCAAGTAATTCTTCAGTGGCAAGAACAGTCCCTGCAGAAATAATTCATCTGACTCTGTTCACTGTGGCAGCATTATGCATACTCGTATCCCAGAATGACATGTTACTAAATTAATTCCTGGTATCGCTAATGAAGGAGGTTCTATAGTCTCTCTGTGTTGCTTTTTCCTGTACCTAACTTCTAATATCTAATTTAAATGTAATTTCCTGAAAATTAACTACTTTTCTGCATTTTGGCCTTTTCTCCCTATAGATATGAAGAAGAATGAACTTTTCTTTTTCTTTTTTTTTCTCTTACAACTGCTTTTAAGCATTTTCAAAAGGTATTTCATGCTATCTCTTGTTTCCAGGTTTAAGCAAACCTAGTTCTTTCAAACATTTCTCACAGCTCATGTTTTCCAAGCCTTTAAATTTCAAAGCCTGAAGATCCTTCCTCAGTCTACTTAGGCTTTTCTTACAGTAGAGTGCACAAATCAGGACTAGCTGGGCAACTGCCTGTAGTTTCTATACACTACCTGGAATAACTCAGTTTTGGTTTGTTTAGTTTGTTTAGTTTGTTTCCTTTTTACCTTGTGCTTTTTTCTGCTGTGGTGTTGTTTGGTTTGGTTTTTTTCCCTAATTTCTTTTTTCAACAGCAACGTACAAACACTTAACAATCAGATCTTTATTTTTATGTTTTGATACGAACTGTAGGTCTAGCCAAGTAGTCCATGTTTTATTTGAAGATGATTCATTCTTCCCCACAGGAGTTCTTTTGCACTTATCTGTACTGAATTTCATCTTCTTGATTTCAAGCCATTTCTCAAGATCATTTTGACTTCTAATCCTATCTTCACTAGAACTCCAGTCTGTTTTAATCTGAAATTTTACAAATGTTCTCGCCTCTATCCTCCTTGTTGTTAACAAAAATAATGAAGAGAATTATTTCCTTACCTGAAGTCCCAGTGGGATCCAATCTGAAATGTCATCCCATCTGGTTTATAACTACATTTCAAATAGAGTTTTAAACAATTCTACATACAACCTATGATGGTTGCATCTGAGCAGTACTTCCCTGTCCTTCTTACAAATCTTCTATAGCATCAAAATCTTGCTAAAATCAAGATAAATGTCATTTGTTGCTTTCTGCTTATTCACTGTCTACAACCATCAGAATATCTATATCAAAATGTGATCATGTCTTTGGAAGTATACTAAGTTTATAGGCACAGAATGAAGAAAATTGTTAAGTGAAATGCTAGGCTGGGAGGAAAAAAACCCTCTATTCAAATACAAAGATTGTAGAAAAAAAATTGGACATATCTTTGCTGCATATGGTTTGTTGCTTGCTCGTCCCATTTTCTTTTTTTTTGGTCGCTCTTGATCCATGTGATCACAAGTCAGAAAATACCTGTGTTGGATTGAGTGTCTCACTGTTGTCAGCCCATGTCACTTTACAGAGGTTGCTTATATACATTAGTCCAGCTTTCTATTTCTTCTGTACTTTCCTAGACCCTTCAAGCAACTGGTAAACCATTATTAGTAGGCTGCAGGTATAGACACTCTGTTTTGCAGTTGTGGAGCAAAAGGTCTTGAGGGTGACTTTAGGGTTGTTTCCAGAAAGCTAAACCAATGTGTTAAGAAACAGATTTCTTTGAGCAAAATGAGTTTGTGTGGGCACAAGAGAAAAATGCATGCCAAATATCTCTTCATGCATTATGGTTTTGCCCTGTTGCAGAGTAATTGTTGCACGGAGTGTTAACAAGCCAGATTGTCAAGCGACAAAGAAGGTAAGCTCGTAGAGACATTTCTGTGTTCAACTCACTGTGAAAGTTCCCGTGTGTGTAACCAAATGATAGTGGGGCAGAGAGTACTACTGTGACCTCATTGTAGGTATACAATGGCTTTTTACAGACAACAACAAACTTTGCAAGGTAGGTAAAGGGAAGTAACAGAAAGTGAACTCCAACACAAAAGGATTTCATTAATTTCTTTGTAGCAAGCTTTCTTCATGGTGGCAAATCCTGTGGTGTCCAGAGTGTGCTAAAAGCTCCCTGTGGACTCTAAACTAGTTTCTTAAAGCATGCAGAAGGTTGCCCTTTCTGCAGGCATTTTATCCTGGCTGTGCCTGAAAGGTCACTAAAAGTGTCATAGAACTCATACATCCCTGGCAGCAGTAACATTAGATGAATAAAATAAGGCTCATTAGCTGAATCAGTACAGAGACTTCTATCCTTAACCTCATGCGTCAAACACATTTTTGACTAGTCTATTTTATATTCATCTTAAATGTCACTGTTATCACAAGTGGCTTTTAGGTCATGTTTTTCTTTAGTAAAAGCACATGTGAATATGCAAGCAAACAGGACCCTATTCCTTTTGTGGTGGGTTGACCCTAGATGAACATCAGTTGCCCACCAAAGCTTCTCTATCACTCTCCCCCTCTAGTGGACAAGGGAAGAGAAAATACAACAAAAGGCTCATGGGTCAAAATAAGGACAGGGAAAGATCACTCCAGCAGTTATCATCACAGGAAAAACAGACTCAAATTATTAACAAAGAAAAGCAGGATAACGAGAAATAGCACCAAATAACAAAATACCTTCCCTCACCTCTCCCTGATTCCCAGGCTTAACTTCACTCCTGATTCTCTGCCTCCTCCAACTGAGCAATACAAGGGAATGAGGAACAGGGGTTAGGGTCAGTTCATCGCATGTCATCTCTGCTGCTCTTTCCTCCTCACACTCTTTCACTACTCCAGGATAGGGTTCTTCCCATGGGAGACAGTCCTTCACCAACCTCTCTAATGTGAGCCCTTTACACAGGCTGCAGTTCTTCATGAACTGCCCCAATGGGTCCCTTCCATGCAGTGCAACCCTTCAGGAACAGGCTGCTCCAGTGTGGGTCCCCTGTGATCTCACAAGTCCTGCCAGCAAACCTGCTCTAACATGGGCTCCTCTCTCCACAGGTCCACAGGTCCTGCCGGGAACCTGCTCCAGTGTGGGCTTCCCAAGAGGTCACAGTCTCATTCAGGGTACACCTGCCTACTCTGGCTTGGGTTTCTCTATGGTCTGCAGGGGGAGAGCCTGTCTCACCATGTTCTTCACCATAGTCTGCAGGGGAATCTCTGTTCTGGTGCTTGGAGCAACTCTTCCTCCTCCTTCTTCACTGACCATTGGGTCTGCAGAGTCGCTCCTCTCTTATCCTCACTCCTCTCTCATAGCTGCAGTTGCACAGTAACTTTCCCCCTTCTTAAATCTGCTACCCCAGAGATGCTACCACTGTTGCTGATGGGCTCAGCCTTGGCCATCAGTGGGTCAACTAGGAGCCGTCTGGCATCAGCTTTGTCAGACGCAGGAGAAGTTTTAGCAGATCTTCACAGAAGCCACCCCTGCAGCCCATCCAAAACCTGGCCATGCAAAACCAATACACCTTTGAAATATTGGGTGCTGAGATGTTTATTTTCCTATCTGGACTTATAGGATAATAGCAGTACTATTTATCTGTAAAATGTATTATAAAAAATTCAGAGTATTTTCTTCTTTTGCTGATGCTAAGTAGCTTGTCAGACACATGACTGTTGTTAAAAGTGTAACACAGACAGAACATATGACTCAAAATAGGGACATATTTTCTATTAATATGCACCCACGGGGATGTGAAGTTTCAGCCTCAGCTCGTGGTCACCGTCCTCACTGTTTCTGGTGTATATATCAGGACAGGATGAGAGGCA